AAAGGGAAGAAGAAGAGATAGGAAGACAATCAGGAGGTCAGAAGAACATTGTAAAACGAGATAGCGCAAGGTTGGAGATGACGAGCGGGGAGGGGAAGGGGTTGGGGGGTTGAAGAGAACAAGAGAATGTTGATGCGAAGGAACAAGAGGTCAAGACGAAATGAGAATGTGCAGAGGGGAGGAATAGGGAGAAAAGTGTTTGGAATATGATACTGGGGTGTGAAGAGAATCGGAGCGGAGGATTGAGTAAAGCACTGAGGGGGAGGGAATCGAGAGAGCGAATTCTGGGGTGATCAGCATGAAGCGGACCTGAAGAGCGAATTACTTGAGGGAACAAAAGCTGCTACACAGGGATGATAGCAGGCTTCCTCAGAACACCATACGTCTTCTCCGTTCGAAAGTGTTTGCTTACTGTAGCTGAGTTGATGACTCTTGACCATAAGCTGCGTCGCTTATCACCCTATGTTTGGGCGTTAAAAGGCATTTTCCAGCATTTGTTTCATGTAATCAATTTCTAGACTTTAGTGAACATCGGAATGTTCAGATCAGACATTAGGCTGACCTTTGTATGCGCACGAATCCAACATTTCTAATTCTTTGTATTGCTCACATTCTCTTGTGTATTCAGTAGGTGTTGATCAAATTGTTGCCAGAAGAGACAAGCTCTGTTGAAAATATGTCTAGTGATACCTCCCTCTGGATCTCTATGTTGCTACCTCATGATAGATAAACTATATTTATCTATCTAACAACAGGCATGTTTTGTGATTCGTGCATGCGTTTTCTTCAATCGCGATGGAAACTCGTATGTCTACAACATGTTGTAAAGCGCGAGCGCCTTGATAAAATGAGATGCGGATGTACACAGAAGTGTTGAGCAGTAGAAAATAGAGAAAATCAAGGATATAAAATGTAATTCCAGAATAGTTTACATAGAAAAGCATCCAATCATTACAGATGGCCAAATGTGAACTCCTTGTAACGAACATCAGAATCAGTAGGTTGAACAAAGTTCCCCCCCTCATCAATCGAAGATTTGTTCGGAATTCGGCAATGCAAATCAATTGGTTTATGGCTTCCGTTCAAGGTCAAATTGCCATTCACATCGATTGCGGAGAAATTAATTGTCATGAGTTTGTGAAACAAGACTTCTGATTTTTGAGAAGTTTTTGTAATGAAGTTGGATGCTGCATAGACCTTGTTTGCAATTCCTCGAAATCGCTCCCATTTGTGATGGGAAACTTCACTAAGTGCCGGAGTCGGCATGAAATCTTTCCTGTGAGATGCGGAGGAAAAAGTAGCATCATCGCGCGTGTGCTTCACCACAGAACAAGAAGAATGAATCAAAAGCACATCTGGACAAGAATGTCTGCGATGTTGCATCTTGAATCAGAGATGTAATTTTGGTCCTGTCTTCCACAGTGGATCAAGAGAGTACGCAATCTTTCCGATTTTGGCAAGCTGAGCAGAGTCGAGGAGGCAGAGAACAGCTGCTCTTTAATTTGCAAGATGATGAACGTCCTGAGGTAGCGGCACACGGATTGCGGTTGAAAAGCAGAGGATGTGAACGGCGGAAGGGTCGGAGGGATGTGAGGTGCTCGGGCCAATACAGGGGGTAGGTCTGGGGAAAAGGAGGGGTTGTTGAAGAGACGGTGGTCTCGACCAAAAATTCTCAAGATCTCGTCACGGCACGTACGGATGGTCTCAAATCGACGGGGGTGGTAGCCATGATGGAAGGACCCCGCCAGGGTAAAGCAACTATGAGAATCTATTGAGTCGCTAGATAGCAAATCATGGGGAGGGAGTGATCATACTCAATCGAAAGCAAGTCCCAGATGCGCCCATCGATACAACAATTAGGGGGGGTGGTAAACCCAAAAGGAAAGAGCTGTCTTCTTGAAAGGGTAAATCGAAACGATTTCTGTTCGATTATGAGCCGTTAGTTGATGTCCCAAATCAGCATCATAAAAATATAGTATATTTACATATTTATATTTGTTTTTATTTTGGTTCTTCCCCGTGACCAATAGACCAAAGGACATGAGTTTGACTCCTTTTTGCTCCTGCCGAACTTCTGAAATCATCTCGTTTGAAGGGATTTGTTTACAACATATTGTATCCTTGAAAACTTTTTTCATGTCAGCGGCCTCTATTAGTCTTGAAATCCACCCTACCCCACTTTAGCTAGTGAGGTGATAGGGGGTAGACACATTGTGCACCCTCCTACCTTGGAACTGGGTGCAAGTTACAGATGGGAGACGGGTGGGTAGGAGAAGGGAGGGTGGGAAATAAACGTAAAAGAAGGTTCAATTGAGGGGTGGTACAGACTCCGTGACCATCCAAATGCCACTGATGGAAAGCACGTGGGCAAAAAGATAGTTTTAAAAGATTCTTTTTTGTCCTCTCTTTTTAAAACACTTGTAGATAGACTGTAAAAATAAAAGCAACACCCGGCCTCAGAAACTTTCACTGCCCAACAGATGATCACAAAACTCCTATTCAAATGAAAGCTGTGATTGACTTGACTATTAAATATAAGTGAGGCGGACTTGAGTCATCAGAGCATGCTCTTTCACAGATCAGTGTCCGGCACTTGTCCTGTGATCCTAATTTGAATCAAATGCTCTTGCACCCCGCCTCAGCGTCCTCTGAGGGCACCGCGAAGAGCCGCGGGGATGCAGGAGAAGCAGAGGGTGTTGGGTGCGAGGGAAGGGAACGAGAGAGAGATGTGGGAAATGAAAGTAAGGAGAGATGGGAGAGATGTCTCACGCACTCTATAGCAAAGCAAGCAGGAGAAAATTAGGCAAACCATGTCAGTCACAACGAGCCTTAGCTATCGACAGGCTTATCGAAGCGTGCAGAAATACAGCTAATGTTAAGACCCTGGTACACGGTCAGGGAGGGAGGTGATACAAGTCGACAGATTCGAGTGTATAGAAAGTTGTATTGTTGTATGTGGACTTTCCACCATTGCATAAGTTAGTGATGTCCAAGGAAAGCAACCATCTCCGGGACAAGTGAAACTGGTTGCTGTTATGCCTGAACATTGTTGATAGTTGGCAAGGTTGGGAAGCAGATCTGCTGACCCAAGCCTGAAGCAATGCCTCGTACATCGGTAAGTCTCGATTGTTTACCAAGAAAAATCCTATCATGATGTGATGAATTTTGCAGCCGCTAGCAGCAATTATCGCTACATCTGCCATAGCGATTTTGATTCTTGCTGCTGTTGTTTTGCACTCCACTCCAAGGAGTGCTCTGGAAGCGAAGCGACATGAACCGACACTTCAGGCTGAGATCAACAAACTGAAGAGAAAGCTGGACAACGCTTTCTCCAAGGTCGAACATCAACATCCCCTGAAGAGTAACGTTGCACAGAAGTCGAAAGAGACTTCCCTGAGCTCTCCTGCTGTCCAGACTGCAACGAAGATGGCGTTGGATTCGAAGCGAGCTCCTGTGCACGAGGCTCCTGCGGTGCGGTCGTCTGTAAATCCACTGGCCAAAGGCCCTTCATCGGTTGGGCAGCCAGCCGTGGAGTCGAGAGGAAGGAAGTTGAACCGACCGCCTGTTCATGTCTGCAGCCACTGCGGCCGATCCCATCTCAGTTCCTATCAAGCCCGAAACAGCAGTTGCGCGTCAAAATGCAGCTTGGCATCGACAACACCAGGTGTTGGACTGGACTGCTCAAGACCAGCAGAGCTACGACAGAGCTGTCTCTCATGCCCGCATTGCGGAGCGAGGATCTCATGTTGAGTACGAACCCCTCCGTCTTCAAAAGGGATATCTTCATGAGATCGAGAATGGGCAAGAACAGTTTGAAACACAACTTGTCGACCTGGTGAAAATGCTCGAGCCTTCATACCTGAGTGAAGCTCTCCAGTGGGCCGAGAGCTTGGACACCAGGGACAACACTATGCTTGAACCCATCGTCGGGGCTCTCGAAAGGCCGATCATTCAAGATCTGGACATGGAGGCGAGAGCACGAGTGGAACGGGCAGTAGAGGCCATAGCAAGCAAGCATGCTCTCACGCTTCCAGAGAAGGAGCAGCTGAGGGCACATCTCATGGCGCCTCTCCTGATGAGAATCAGAGCGCGAGTTCACGCACAAGTTTCCAAGTACGTCACGAGGATGGCTCGATCGATCGTGATGAAGACAACTGGGACCAACATGACGACTGAGAATTATCTCGCCGCCATAGCGAATCACAGGGAGAAGCTGGCGGTGCCAACATTGCCGGAGAATGATGTGAGGTTTGTCAACTCCATCCATGACCTTCAGATGGTTTACAAGAATGGAGTGATCGATAAGAAAGAATATGAAACTCAGAAGGCGAAACTTCTCAGTGACTGGCTTAAGTTCGCAGTGATCAAAGCTGGAGGGAATGCCAATGAAGTGCTGCGTTTGGTGTTTGGCGGCGATGTGCGAGGGATCACTTACTACGGCAAAAACAAGAAGAAGTCCAGCGTCGATGTGTACAAGAAAGTCCAGATGGAGAACGCCATTGCTTCCATGAAGGCGGATCGGCAATTGCGAATCTCTGATGATCTTGTGTGGCAGCTTGTGCATGGAAAGGCGCAGTGGGGTGCCGTGACTGGATGCGAGGGGAAGTGGGAAACAAGCGCGTGCAAGAGGAAATGGGACTCGATCAAGGACCTGATAAAGAAAGACTTGGACAAGCTGCCGGAAGGCGCTTGGGGAGAAACCAGAGAGGGAGATGAGGACCAGAAGTTCTCGAATGAGGGTGCAAATGCTCTCTACAAGCGGCTGGGCAATGATGCGCGAGAGAGTATCTGGGAGGACCAACGAAACAGTCTGCCTTGGGAAACAAGTCAGCTAGCGTCGGCTCGCGAGCACAAGTAAAGTCCATTAGACATGACATTCTGCCAATACCACCATTTCAACAATTTAGTGCAATAAAATTCTCGATTAGACTTGCGAACGTCAAAAGTTACTTCACTCCCATTCGTTCCGTGGGTCTGCCCCTTCGGCTGATACCTTGTAGTCAGCATGGGAAATGTTTTGTGACTCGTGCAAACTTACCTTGCGACTCATTCAAACTCTCTACGATCTGTGTAGGAACTTCTGATGTCGGCAATTTCTCGACAACTTTCCTCAAAAGATCTGAATTGATCTTCAGCTCAGCTTTGCTCATGATGACATCCCGTTCTTGTTTAGCCTGGAATCATCAGCAGGGTGAGGCATCAATGGCTGGAGGTGCCATGTTTCACCTTTATCTGGAGCTGTTGCCCTAAATCTTCTTTGATCTTCCGCCTCTTCTGCAGCTTTTCCTGATACTCGGCATCATTTTTTCTTCTCACGCATGACTTGCTGTCATTTTAGACCTGATAAGCCAACTGCTGCTGCTCTCCAAACTCGTGCGCTTCTCTCTGGTACTGTTGGGCAATGCGCTTTCGCTCTTCCTCCTCAATTTGTTTCTGGACCTCCTTCTCTTTCAGCTGCCATCCAAGTCATTATCGTCAACCTCTTTCACTTGAAATGGTCTCACTTGCGCATCGAGAGCTCGCTGAGTCTCTTGCTCGAGATTTTTTTTCTTAAGCTTTTGGGCATTTTCTCGTTCAATTTCTTTGTTCCTGGAAGGGTCCCAAGGTGAATGCAGGGATTGACAGCTGGGGGAGAAAATTTGAGATCACACCTGAATTCTTCTTGTGCTTTTTGAATTCTCATTTCAAGTTCATGATCCATTTCCGCAGCTCGATTGTTGAGCTCTCCAGCCATCCTCTCTGCTTTCTTGAGTCTCTCTTGTCGGATCTTTGTTGACATGTGTTGGTACTTCATTTGGCAAAGTAAGAGATACCTTCTCTTGCTTCATACGCTCCATCTCTTGCTTTTCACTCATCTCCTGCATTCAAGTAAATAAGACTAAAACTTCGCAGGGTTGCAGCACACCAATTGCATCTGGAATAATCTCAGGTTCTCTTGTCTTTCCCGCTCTTTGGCTTCTCGTTTCCGTTCAAGAATGACGTCTTTCTCTCGAAGCATCCTCTGTAAATAAAAAACGCGCACAGTCACCAGGTAGAAATATGACCAGCCCATCAATGGTTGAAGTGGAACCTGATATTCAGCTGCCTTTTCCCTAATTCTTCTATCTTGCTCTTGGCGTTCCAACTCAAGTTGTCTCTTGTGCTCCTCCAACATCGCCTGCTCTTCTCTCTTTTCTTGCAAGGCTCTGATCTTCTTTTGTTCAATAGATTCCTTTAGAACTTTCTCTTCTTCCAATTTTTCCTGAAGAATTCGTTTCTGCTTCATCAAATCGCCTTCTTTCATCTCCTGTTTCCAATCGCGGTAATTCTGCATGATGCTTTTACCCAGCTCGAAGTATTCAGCTTTTTCTTGATCTTTCTGTTGTTGTCTTGCTTGCATCTGTATAGCAGTGTGATCTGGAATAATTCCGTCGGCAAATGAACACCAACCTGCGCTTGAAGCTCTTGTCTTCTGCGTATTTTATCGAGTCGTTCCTTTTCCTTTCTTTTCTTCTCTTGTTCCATGAATTCTACGTCGTTGTACAACGTGATCATCGACCACGGGTCCGATTTCCTTGGAACTTTTTCATCAGGACGTGCAGCAGTGGCTCAATGTCCTCACCTGGCTTTCTTGCTCAAGACCGAGTTCGTGGTGTTGGCGATGTTCTCTAGCTCGCCATTGTTATCATATTCAATGCTGTTCTGATCGAACCCCTTTGCTGCTTTGATCTCCTGCGGCATAATGGAAGGGTTCAACATTTCTCCCTGTTGCTCCGCATGCTCCTGCTTCATGGAGCTTTCAATTCTCTCGATGTCTTTGCGATGTGCTGTGATATGCATTTGAACATCGGAGGGACTGAGCATCATTGAAACCAACTCACCTTGTGTATCTTCGGCGTCATTGCCTTTGACCTTCTGATGCAAGGAAGATATAATGTCACCTTGCTCAAATCGCCGCCTTAATTCATTGAGCTTGTGCTCATTCAACCTAAACAGTTCATATCAACTCTTCATTGCTTCATCGAGGAATGGAACGTACTTTCCATCGTGTAACAGGCCTTCGACTTCTCTTACAGCAAATTGGTACACGGCGCCGTCTTTATCATACTTATTCTTCATGGAAAATCAGAGGAGGTTGACAACAGTTGTTAGAGGTTGACAGATGTGGAGGCAACTGACAGAGGTGGAGGTAAGGAGACAGATTTGCACTGCAGTCACCTGTTTGTTGTACGCCTTCAACAAGTTGTTCACAAGCAGCTCCTTGAACAAGTCGTCACTCTTCTGCCGCTGCCACCAGAGTCTCTCTGGGTCAACTGAGGGGACTCACCTTGAGTCTCGTGTACTTGTGAGAGCGATCGCTTGGGGTCAACCGCTGCCCGAGGGAAGGGCTTCCTGAGCTCCGACGGCTGATGCTCTCCATCCCTTTAAACGACTTTCCGACTTGTTTGCGTTGAGCTGCTGACTGCGACGTCATACCCTGCGGGATGCCGGCTCCTCCGGCTCCGTTGCCTCTCCTTGCTGCATGGCCGATGACCGGCAGCATAGCGATAGGCCCCACTGGTCCCCGGCCCCTAAAAATAGCTACTAAAGTACTTTGAGTAAAGAGTACCCGGGGGGAACCTTTTACTCAACCTAACTAAACGGCGGTAAAAACTGCCGCGGCCGCTCTGTACTCGAAGTTTACTCAAAGTTAAGTTAAAACCCCACGGTCACACTGAGCCTCATCACCGTCGGACACAGCCTGGCAGACGGTCGTACGGTCCCGCCGCCAAAAGCCATGAAAGTTGATTCCGACTCTGAGTCTATGGTGCAGGACAGGACTGAGATGATGCAGCCAACTTGTAAGTTGCCGCCGGGCAATTCCTGTGGTGGCAGTATCCGACGCCGCTCCGACGCCGGCCCGCGGGCCGCGCGAAGGCATTGGCCGCGGCAAGCTCCGAGGCTCAGTTTATGACAGTGCCCGGCTGAGGTGTTTGGGGGACCGCCGGTACAGCTCACTGAGTCAGCCGGCAGGATGAGCCTCCGACTCTCCGACCGGACTCAGGGGTTCCGTTCTCGCTCCGGCGAGCCTGTGTCACGCCGCTCAGCGAGGCTGGCTGCCGCGTACTCAGTGACTACCGGCCCCCGCGCCCGGCGCTGGCCCCCGCGGGCCGCAGGCCGGGCTTCCGCCGAGGGCTGCGGCACCGTCAGTTTCGGAGTTCTCTTCTCCGAGGCTGGCTGCCGCGTACTCAGTGACTACCGGCCCCCGCGCCCGGCGCTGCCCCCCGCGGGCCGCAGGCCGGGCTTCCGCCGAGGGCTGCGGCGGACCGTAGTAGTACGGTAGCCGCGTTGCTGCGGCTCAATTTTCCGGCCGTTCATCATCATACTTGTGCCAAAGTGGGACGGTACCGCGGGCCCCCGGGCCTACCCGGCGTTTGAGGCTCCTCGGAGTCGACTAAGAGTCTCCTCCCGCTCGGATTGTCCTCGTACTGATCTTTAACTTAACTTTGAGTAAACTTTGAGAACCGGGCGTCACCGGGACTCAGCGGGTGGGCCGCCGCCGCTTGACAAGTTGAGATGAGCCTGAACTGGAAATAAAATGAGGGGTGAAGCGGAGGATGAACTGCGAGAAAGCATGGCAGGAGCATAGAAGAGGAGCGCACAAGGTGCGACGTGCTACGGAAAGACTCGGCTGATGTAGACAGCAGCATGCCATGTGATGTTCAGCTGTGCCAGTATGACACCTGGGTAAGCTTCAATGGCGGAATAGAAGTGTGAGGATCGAGCCTTGTTGTTACTACCAGCGCAGCCGCAGTCTCGAGATTAGAGAACATTCGCGATCATCATGAACGACACCGACGACTTGGAGCTCGAAAACGGCAAGCTCAGGCTGCGATGCAGACACTTGCAAGAAACGTTGAACCATGCCAACACAGCGATCACGGACATGAGGGAGGAGATCGAGGGACTGAAGCTGAAGGTGCTATCCCTGGAGGTAATCCATCGTTTGGTTTCTTGCGTGCGTTGAGGTGACCATACCTGTAGGCGGCATGCAGCGAGAAAGAACAGATTAAATCTCATTCAAAAACAAGCCTTGGAGTTGACCCGGAGTTGGATGAAACGGTCTCAGACATCTTCAGCGATGAAACAGCAGAATCAAAGATTATCATGGATATGTTTCGGGCACATCGATACTATTTGCTGGTCAACACCGGCCTTTCATTGAAGAGTGCAGATCTAAATCCAGCAACAATTAGACTTGAGGATGAGAATGGCCAATTCTCATCCCAAACTGCAGAAAAATTTGCTGTCTTGTCCAAGCTGCTAATATCGAAGCATTTCTGTGACCTCCTCTTGCATGCTTACGGTGAACTCAAAACTTTTGTTAACCCTGAGAGACTTCCAGCAACGATACAAGGTCGACTAGAAATGACAGACACAAGCTTTATGTCATCGTCACAGCGCACAGAGTTTTTCGATGCTGAGGATTTTTCGAGTCAGAGTCAAAAAGCGATGAATGAGATTGAGTCCAAGAGCGTGAACACGAGTGAAGCTTCATGCATGGAAAGTAGCGAAACTGTGGAACACAAGACCGTATTCTTTGATTGGTTGAAGAACTGGATTTTTCATTTCATCAATTTGATAGAGCAACGCCATGTCAAGTTTATGGAATTTTCGATAGTCTCACTGAAAGCTTCATTTTTCAACTTAAGGTCGATTCAAAGATCCATTCTTGAAAAATTGAATAACCATATTGTCGCCATCATCGGTGAAGGAGAGCGGTATCCAATTGTTCAAAGCATACAGCAGATGGCCATGCTTTATGAGACCTCACCTGACGAAGAATTTGAACTATTGTTCCTTCATATAGACGATAATCATCTTGAGAACATCAGATCTATGATGCCCGTGTCGGAATTGGGAAACATCCTGATGGATTCGACTAGATTAATGGAATCAAGCGATTTTGTGGTAACGCACCCTGCTTCTATGTACTATCTCCCTCTGTTTCTAATTTGTGCCTTTGCAGAAATTGATACATGAATTTAAAACAACTATGCATAGTTTAAAGAAGGCACTTCTGCAGAGCAAAGAACAAAGTATTGACGACTCAGAAAGCTATATACGATGCAGCCTTGCATTGTTGGATATATTTCTGTGTCTCAACGATATCTTTGCAGGAAAGAGTGAAGAAGTATCTTCAAAGATGCAGTCGATCATCTCCAATGTGACTGGTATGCAAGAGTTCGAAAAATGCAAGGACATGAACCAAGTCTGGAAGAGTCAAATTCTTCAAAATACATTTTTGAATCGTACGGGTGAAGATTTGTGCTTGAGGTTCGAAAGATTAACATCTCTGTTGGTTATACTTTGTAATAACCTCAAGTCAAAACTTGAAGACCCCAGGATCGAGATATGGATGAGCTCTCTCATCAACATAACAAGATACAGCCTTGATCTTCTCGTGCAGTTGAGGAGTGATGACTTTGAGATGATGAAGTTCATTCTGACGATTGTAGACGTCGTCGATAGCAAACATTGTGAAATCGAGCTGGTCAGCGATGCTGGTAGTCATACAGAATTCTTCTCTGAAGAATCTGAAACTCCGAAGACTCGTTCGGTCAATCTTGAAGACGAAAAAGATCTTGAAAAGTTTGAAATCTCTACTTTGCCGTCGTTTGCGAGCACAGCATCTTTTCAAATTGATCTTCCAGCAGTACTGCATCAGGTCGAAATCATGCAAGCAGCGTTGGAGAAAAGTTCGTGCGAGATAGAAGCACTTCGAGCTCAAATGAAAAATATTCTTCATGGGCGTGAAACTAGAGAGGATACTAAAGCATTGGATGAATCATCGCTAGGAATGTATCAAGCATTAGAAAACAGAATAGCTGCTAAAGAAGCTCTTGGTAATTCGCAAATTACTTCTGCGCAAACCAACTCAGCGCAACGTGCAGACAGTAGCCGGAAAAGCGGGAACGCGATCCTTTACTCGTTGTGGATTGATGCAGGGTGGATGATTGCAATGTTTGACAAAGGATATTCTTTGAAAAGCCTTATTGCAGGGATTGCTATTGATCTCAAAAGAGCTATCAGCCTAACAGTAGATGTGAAAGTCATCTATCACGAATTTGCCAAGGTAGTGAAGGAATCATCTTCTTTCACTTCTGATGGAGCTCTTTATATTTTGTTCGTCGTTCACAGTGATGAGTTGGAACTTGAAGACTTCGAGATAGTCATGCGGGATTTGAATCTCAGGCATTCAATTGGCCATATGGATAGTTGGATATCAAATACCAGTGTCAAAGATATCAAATTCGAGGGCCCAATATCTAAACATGTTGTCATGCTCCTTGATACGATCATCAACTCCGGCGGGAAGAGAGAAGCCACTATGGAAGGTGGTGCTGTGGAGTTTGAAAAGCGTTCTCGTCGAGACGTGAATGAGACGTTGGAGCTATCGACACCAGCTTCGATGATATCTTTCTCTGCTCCCTCCGATGAAAGAGAAATTCTTCCATAAGATAAGCGTATGAATTGTTGTTGAGAATCTCTTTGCATATGATTTGGAAACATCATCAATTGCTATCATTGGGAAACATCATCAATTGCCATCAAGCTATCATGGCCTTCATGGGACCCTTTGAACGGGAAGCATTTAGGTGATGCTAATGCATTCAATTCCCCACTAGAGGCAGTATGTGTACTTTTCTGTCGACTGTGATTTGTTGGGCAACGCTGAACCATCCTCCAACTCTAGTTCTGAACGAGAAATTATCAGTCAGCCCTGGCACCAGAATGAAAGTTTGAACCTTTCAGAAGTTCTTCGGCTTCACCCATCTTGTTCCACAACTTTTGCTGATGAAGGAATTAGTCAATCGCCTAAGTTTGAAATCAAATTCTTACAGCATCTGCGCGGTCTTGTTCGCTTGCGCCTTCCCTTATCAAGAACGCGTGAGTCAAACGAAATTGCTCTATTCTATCATGAAGATCTTCCTGCAAACAGTTTTTAAGTTGGTTTTAAAAGTAAAATGCATAGATCACTTGAGTTGCAATTTTCAACTGATGAGCCAGGACCGACAAAGACTTGTTTGAATTTCTCTGGTTGCTTGGCGAAAGGCATGCTCTCACAACACGAGGAGTCTCGTGCACGGGGGCTGCGATTGAGTGCAATGATCCATCTGGATGCATGTTTGCAATTTGAAGAGGATAGATCATTGAATTGTTCTGGAAAGATTGACGTGCATGTAATAGAGCAACATCGCGCGAGCCGACAATGTACTGGTTGAATGTGTTCGGGCAAGAGGCTACGGGAGGCACAGACGTAGGGTGGAACAGTTGGGAGAAGAATTGTTGTCGTTCAGTAGGATAGCAGAAATTGTTTGCAGTTGTCGATGGCCTGACATAGACGTTGGGCATGAACCAATTGTACTTTCTGGGCAAAGAATTTTCCATCCTGAATTCCTTCACGTGCTTGTGGAAGTTTGAGAGCTAGTCAGACTTTGAGCATCCCCACCTGTAACCTGATTGTACTTCAAACAAGACATCGCTGTCTGATTTTCGTTGTGTTGTCCTGCCTCTTAGAAGCGCTCCTGACGGCATATCAGCATAGCACACTCCGGCCACCTTTCATAAGCTCCACACAGCGCGCAGAATGTTTCTATCGGATCACAGAGTTTTACTCAAGTTCAAGTTGAAAAGGGCCCGGGCGGCGCCGCGGCGACTTAGAGTAAATTGAAGTGGCTAGATCGTCACTGGGACCGTACGGTACGGCGCCGTGGGCCGGTCGCCGGACTGCGCCGGGCCGGGTCCCGTGACGGCCCTAACTTAGTAACTTTTTTTGTGGCACCCCGGCGGGCCCACTCAGACCGTCCGGACCGTGACCAGCGCCGGTGAACTTGCCGGCGGCGGGGACGTGACTCAGTGAAGTACGGCTCTGGAGCAAGAGACCGAGTCTGTCAGGAGATGAGACCCATAAGACCGGGTACCGGTGGGTGGGCCCGGTATTGGGCGGATGAGGGGTGGAGTGAGGGGTTCAGTCACGGTCATCAGTTTCTGAACCCGGAAATCCGTAGGTTGTACCCCACCCTACTCAGCTAGAGGAGGAATAACGGAGAAGGGGGGTGAGGTCCAGATAAGCAGGGTCGTGAAGAGGGAACGCGGTCAGAGGTCGTAGGGCAAACTTGGATTCCCCCTTCGAAGTTACTGGAGACATGTTAGAACCCCACCCCTCAAGGTCTAAAGTACAGTAGAAATGGGGGGTGGGGTAAATTGCCCCTTGTCTTCGTAAGCTACGTCCTGCCAGCAGATGAACGACGAGCCGCATTTTATTGTCCCTGCCAGCAGACCTTGCCAGCAGAATCACTGCCGTCCCTGACCTGCCATCTCCTTCGTTCCATCAAACTTGTCTCAAACATCTTCGTCTGCCTTTGTGGTCCTGCTTTCTCATCCTTTCCTTTGTGTAGTGAAAGCAAACATGGAACGGTGCAAGATGGTGTTTGAATGGTACTGTTTTGAACTGGAACCTCGTTGATGATAATTTCATTGAGTAATTCATTCAATATCATGAAATAATGTGAGCTGACGACCCCGATGTCAATTCAACTCTGGTTTTTATGTTTGGTGACTTCAAGTCCAGGTGCTATGAATAACATTGACAACCAAACTGCTACGATGAACGTAAACAACTCCCGCGCAAGACCGAAACGGGGATTGCAGCTCACTGCAGAGCAAATCCAAGGTCTGTTTCATCTTCGGCAATCCGAAGCAGCGCAAATCATGGTGCTGCTCGTTGAACAGGACCTTTCGTGCATTTTTGACCATCACGGCAGGGCGTATCATTGACTGCGATGAAAGCTGCATGCAGAAGGGCGGGTGTTTTGCGATGGCCATATTCAAGGCTTCGACCGCATTACAAGAGTCTGAGCTCGATCAAAACAAGTTTGGCACTGCAGAAGGAAACCACTGGAGTTAGTTCTAATACCATTCAAAACGAAAGCGGTCTAAGGGAAAACCCTATTACTTATGGACCAACTCTTGAGCCCAATGAGGACGAGGGTCAGAACGAGACGGAAAGAAACAATCAAAACCGCACTTTCGATGAATCTTTGGACAATTTATGGAATATGGCAATTCCTCCACTTGAAAATGAGTGGATTTCATGGTTTTTGAACTCGAATGATTCAGAGACAAACAGTGAAGAATGTGCTACAGCCCAAAATCTTGTTTAGGGCGTATATATTGATGTCAATCTCTTCTTTGTAAGCCGTATAGTAGAAATGTGCTTTGTAAGGTATCACGATTTGTACGACGAAGCACTCAATCTGAACAGTGCTTTGTATTGATATATCTAGTGTCGGGAATACTTGTTTGATATCATAACATACTTGTTTTGATATCATAAAGGTGGTAATGGGTAAACATTTTGTGAATTTCAAGATTCACTGTCTCAACCAGTTGTAGAAGGATAAAGTAGACATTTCTCTGAAAAAAATGATGCTTTTGCGTTATGGTCGATGTCATTCGTGGGGAGTCACGTCACAAGCAAAAACTTGTCTGCAACCCTCGGAACCTTGCTGAGTCAAGCGGAAAGCACCTACAACAAACTGTACGTTCCCAACATCAAAAGAAAGCCTCGCGCTTAGTCTGCTCATGTCCAGTAAATACATCGCTTCAGACAAAATGTCTTCCAGAATGTTTCCAAAACACTTGCCTATCTCGTCTTCAAATGCGAATCCTTTATTTGGAAGGCTTGATGTCTTCCCACACAAATTGCACTCTATGTATGAGACCTCTTTCGTTGACTTGGTATACAGCCATGCAGTTTGCTTCTGCACCATTCGGTAGTCCGCTGATATGCTCTCGATCAACTACGACCTATGAAAATCCGTTCATTAACAGCCAGACTGCTCAGGAAAATAAAAGAACCTTTCCGATCGCAAGTCTGCCGTACAAAGAGCAATAAACTGGACTCTTGAATCTTTCGATGTAACGAGCCCGAATCTGGTCGTGGCCTCTAGCGAGCTCCTTGCCCTATCATTATCTCAGTATTAGATGACAGAACTGCAAATTGCTCCCAACTTACGGTTTGTAGGTCGAGCAGCTGGCAGTCAGGATCAAACAAGGTCATGAACTCATCTGCATCTCTCTTATTGTATAACTCAAGCTGCATGTCAAAGTAGTTATGTTCAGTGTCTAGAACAGTGTGGTGTCGTACCTGCTTTTGAATCACTGCCAGCGGGTCTACCGGGTCCTTGTGGTTCGACCCAGCATCACTTGACATCTTGGCGGAGCAGCTGCCTCCTCGTAGAGAAGACGGTCTTGTGGATGAAGCTCCTATTACTCTTTCGTTCAGAGGCACCAGACAGGGCAGCAGTCTCCCCCCGTACATCCTCCATACACCCCAGCTCGCGCCATACCATGCCCCAATCATTACCGGGAAGCGCTGAGGGATTGCGTAGCCTAGGTACCATAAAGTTTTACTTAAATTGGCTCTGTTTACAGACACTACTGTCTACTTTCCAAGTTGAGTAAACTGATTTAATAATGGGTAAGTGGGGGGAGGTGGGAACATGTCGAACTTGCCAAATGGCAAAACGTGAAGGGGCGTGGAGGAGTGATGTGAGATAGCAAGCAGCGAGAAGGAAGAGAAGGCATGTTCAGAGCAAAAGAACCAGAACAGAGGAAACCATCTCGTGTTCTACGAGAATGTTCGATCCGATCAATCGATTTTATCAGGACGATAGAGGAACCAATCATGCTGGGACGCTCCACGATTCGTTGATAGGATGTTGTGTTCTTCGTGCTTTTAAATATGTATATCTTGTATTCTTATCGCATGATTGAGTGTCACGGAGTTTTGTGTGCTAAAATCGTTGAAATCATTTCTTGTTTTAAGAAAGAACCAGGTTCCTTATTGCTTGATTCCTCTCATGACATTCATAACATTACACGCATGCCACAGCGCATGTCCGCCTGTGTGATGGTGTAATGGCTGCTGTATTCCCGGCATGTCTGTATGCTTTGTATATGATGTGCTTTCTGTTTATTATTATTCAATGGAAATCTAAAGCATCTGATGATGTATCCTTCAGGAGCCAGCGATGCTCCTGGCAAAGCTGGCCTTGTTGCATGGTAATGGAAGCTACATGGGAAGAAATTTCTGTGCGGTGGTACAAGGACCAGAAAGCGCTGTTGATCATACAGTTAATGTTATGGGCCATACCGTGACGATTGAAAATGGTTCTTGCAATCCGCTTATGATGGGGGGTAAACCGTAAGTTTGAATTGAATGATTGCATTTTGCCTATTGATGTCTTTTTCTGGAAGATATGCTACGATGGAGCCCTCGGACTTTGTTACGGACAATGGCGATGAAGTGCATTGGGATGGACATGTTTGGAGTATCTGATGCTCCTTGAGGGTGCCAGATAAGGATGTTCGTACGAAGAAAGTTTGCATTTGAAATGTTGTGTATTATTCTTGCTAGTTGTCGTTGACAATAACATTTTGAATGTACGATGAATGGTCTGTAACACTGAAAAGTAAACATAATACCTTTTGATGTATTTGAGAAACCTCATTCGGAGAAATTTGTTTTTTGCCCGTCGTGCCCAAGGCTCACATCCAGACAGAACTGCTCATGCAAGCGGAGTGATTTTATCACGTAACCTCTTATTTGCTTGTTCAGGACTGTCAAAGTTTGATGGACTGAGATGCGTTTCTGCCTCCTACAACTTTCTTTCGCATTCATCGCCTCTGCCTGCATTCGTAGCATTCCTCTGGTTTGATCAGTACATGAGTCCGTACCTACACACTACTGGGCGCCATAGCTCCTGAAGCAATATTCTGGGAGAGAGTCGGCGGCGGCGGCGGCGGCAGCGGCAGGTGGAGGAGGATCACAGTCATGCATCAAGCTCGTTACAAGATGTTGGTGTGTACAGAAAGACATGGTATTTCTTCAAACTCCTCCTTTGAAGCTTGAACCCGAATTTCTTCATCGCGAAACAGAGTTGTCGCACCATTTTGTTTTCATGTCGAAAAGAGATATTGATTGTATCCGGGAAGTTGTTCAAGTTGCTTGGTCATGACGGGTAAGATTGTGAAGAGCAAGAAGACTCGAGAGAAGCCCCCACCGCTCGAGCTTAAGGCTATTGAAGGAAAGGCAACTGCAACTTTATTTCCTGTTCCGCAAAGAGCGAAGTCTGTCACAGTTCACGCGGCTAAGAAGAAGGTCCCAGGCCAAGTCTCTTCACCAATAGCATGGAGCTCGGCATCTTCAGATAGTCTTTCTCACCGTGACAGAATTGATGATGCATTCTCATCGCCTGCTCCAACAACCGCAGAAGGTTCATTTCGGTTGCGTGTCTTGACAACATTCGACAGTCCAAGCATAAAACCTACAGATCGAGATGGAAAGGATGCTATTTGGGTGTCGCGGAGAAGTGATAATCACTCGCAATCTCATCGATCAACCAATTTTTCTCGTGCTCAGGTTTTTGAATACGACTTGTTTGCATATATCCACTTACTCCATGTAATGTCAGCAATATCACCCGGCATGTTCGAAGCGATCCCTCAATCTCATACCAAAATCTATCCGTGCTTTTGAGATTCTGGACAAAATTGAAGTCGGAGAACTCATGTTGCGGAGTTCGACTGCGGAAGGAGCTGTTGAAGAATCAGAAGTATTTAAGCTGCAATCTGTGAATGACATCTGAAAGCGACTCGGGCATCGCTGAACTGTCTATGGCAGATGGCCAGGCACATGCCAAGAGAATTCTTGAATCCTGATCGAGGTTTGCCTGTCTGTTATGTCATGATGCCATTGACGTCTGGATGCTACGTTTTTTTAGACAAGAGAAACCGAACGAGCACGCGTTATCTGAATCTGCATGGAAACCAAAAGTGAGTGACTTTTATGACCGTGGTGTCCAGCAAAATCATTGTGTTGAACGCAGGAGAGCGGTTGGGGCAACGAATTTCAACAAAATAACATCCAACAAAAGCAAGATGGATGCGGTGCACTCGATATTGGATGTGGACTTGCGAGCATTTGAACATTGGCTTAAGATTCAGGATGTGGATTGCTTGATGTCCACGACACGTCATACAGAATATTTGGGCGACGGCAAACATTCGAGGTTATCATATTGCCTTTCGCAACAAGGCCAAAAATGTTGACTGCCTCGCAGCGAAATGGAAGCCAAGGAAGTGCACAACAACGATAGAAGTCTTCTAAGTTTTTAGATTTTACTGATCTTCGGACATACATGTTTAAGCATCTTCAGACTTTTTCTCCGCACTACCTCAACGCCTGAACGGCACAAATATGCGGAGGAGGAAGGTTGCATCATTGTTTGTTTCTTACCAATCCTGAGAACAAATGGCAATCTACACGTCCTAAAGAAATTAGGAGAGAAAAGAGCGATACAATTTATGCATGTAAATAAAGATCTTTCGAGATTGAAAGCAATTTAATGAGATCAAGAGGAATTAGGAATGGCAAAGAAAACACGCAGAACGCAATCACAAAACTAAGGGCGAAGCCGCTGACTAGGACGAAAAATTACCGTTTCTATCAATAGAATTGAGAAATACACTAGAGCCGAGCAGATTCAACGTTGGATAACTCCCTGATCGAACCATGTTTCCTTTGCCATCGATGATCTTGTCGCATGCTGAGCTAGAAGATTGAAATGATAACTTCCGTTCATTGTGTCCACTTTCACAAGCCATTGATTCCTCCACATCACTCGATACAACACTACACGTTTCGAATTTTATGTTCGACGGCGCGTCTACTTCTTCGACATAACAGAAGGCCGGTTCCAAAGCCAACGATGAGACCCTCCCGACCTTGGAAGTTCCGTTGACATCTACATCAGCATCTCCCTTGCCGATAGCATCGGGCCAGGAGTTTCTTCGTGAAGAGCTCTTGTTGTGCATCATGTGCTTCTATGCTTGTGCCGTCAGCTCGAGGGTTGTGCTTCCACGACTCCTCGAAGTCACCACCTGCTCTAACCCCGGCTTCGTCTTCGTAGCCGTCGGTCACTACTTTATCCCGGCTTTTTACTACAGGACTTATGCAATACCCCTCCCGTTCCCCACGGAATCAGTCGAAATGACAACAGGGGGAGGGGTGGTTTACTCCTGGCGTTGCCGGCATACAAGGTCAGTAATCTCGACACCCCAATGGCCAAGAGCCCCAAGGTGAAGTGATCACCACTTTTTCCTATGATGTCACTTGAGGAATGTGAGAGCTGTGGGGTATCTTTTCCTATAGGATGGATGGTCTTCAGTTCGGATGCATCCGCATCATTGTTGGGTATTTATTGGGAGAAAGGGGGGGTACTGGTAGGGGTTCGAAGGGGTGTATGTTGAAGGGAGATCTCAAACTTGAGATCCTTCAGATCCGCCCCCTCCGGGTCCCACAGTCAAACCACTTACAAGTTATTACTCAATCACAATCTTGTATACAAATCTCTGTACTTCGACCTCTTCTAAATACTATAGGAACAATTGAGTAAGTGAAATTTTCTATCAGATCCATATGTACCGTGGGAAGGCTTAGTAAACCGGGTCACTACTGTTCTTCTTTGCTGAAGGTTAAGTTAAAAACTAATATGACGCCGACGCATCACGACTCCCGAGTCCGGGAGTCCGAGTCCGACTCATGAGTCAGTCCGGTCACCGGCCCGCCCGGGCCGCCGTGGCGGCCGCTTGACGAACTTAGCGGCACAACTTGAGTTTGCCAGTTAGACTTGTACCGTGCCAAACTTTCAGTCGCGCAGACATCATATTGACGGCTCAGTTGTAACCGTTGAAGACACTGAGTTTTGGCTCAGAGTACGGTCAAGACCGGCGGCGGAGCCTGTTTAATGCGGCACACGAAACCAGACAGTCGGCCTCGGACTGTGCCAGTGCCAAACCCAAGCCACTCAGCATCGGCCGGGTGCCGCGGGCAGACCGTCACACATGCTACATGGCCGCCTTGTCGGAAACGCGTACCGTACTACGGTAAAGAGTCACCGGCGCGGAGGCCGCCGGCTGACCGCGCGGCCGGCGTGAGCCTCGAGCCTCGGAGTGTCACCCGGGTGGCCGGGCGCCCGGTGCAGTGCGGCGCGTTCCGATCGGATCGGATCGGACTCCGCCGGGGGGCCGCGACTGAGTCGGACCGGGATCGGACGGTGCCACGAGCCGCGCGGCGGGCCGCCGCGGGTACTCTGCCGGTCGGAGGCGGCGGGCCTGCGGCCTGAGGAAAGGTACGGTTACACATCAAGGGTCACTTGACCTACAACCCTACCCCCTGATCACAGATGAATGGAAAGGAGAAAGGTAGGGTTCAATCATGCAGCACAGAGGCGAGGACGCCAAGTTTGATGGTCCCACACCCCACCCCCTGTTCTAGAAGTCCACTGTATTGCAAACGTTGTCAGTAGGAGGGGGTAGGGTAGTGAGAGGGTACCAGAGGTGCAGTGCCGAGGAAGATGACTGCTAGTAGCGTCAGAGCGACGGCATGATGGGCGGGTCAGACCGCGATGTGAGGGAGAGGGAGAGGAAAGGATGGAAGAAGTAGAGATAGACAAGCACTGGCAGACAGACCGTCCCATCGTGACGGTTGTGCTCATGCACCTTTTAGGAAACGCATCATGCTGTTTGGAATAGTTGTGTTTGCAATCTGTGATTTGAGTCCCGGTGGAACCACTTTTCAATGATGTTTGTGTCAAAGTAGAATATCTTTTCATTTGCGAAAGGTTGAAATTGATTTTAGATCAGGCCCTAATGGAAGTGATCGCAAATCCACCGATGTGGCAGCCCGTCCAGAGCGCAGGAACGCTGACGTCCACTACTTCGGCTCAGCTTTCGCCATCAATTGGTCCACTGTCACCAGTGAGCACGACGTATACCAATGTTCAGACGTTGTCTCCCCAAGTGACGCTGATTCCGTCGACATCTGTAGTCTACACTCAGGTTGAAGATCTTCGTTATTTGAACGCTATTTTAATTTCGTCGCCAGTCAATCGCAGAGAACAGTTTGAGATCTCTGCTTGATGAAAAGCATCGTGAAGGAGAGATGTTGAAGCGCGAGTGCTATGAGCTGAGGGAGAGGCTGAATGAATCTCAACGAGTGATCCGTCCTCTTCAGGGAGAAAATGAATTGTTGAAGAGAGAGCAGCAAGCTCAGTCGGAACGGTTCGTTAGATCTCACGAACATTTGTCTTTCTAAAACTTTCTATCAGCATGGCAGTACTGGTCAGCGAGAGGATTCAGATGGAACTGCAAGTTTCCAACCAGAAGCAGCAGTTGGGGATTATGGAAACTCAGATTTCCAAGACGAGGGCTGAAATGTCTCATTTTGAACAATTACTTGTTAATGTGCAGCAAGAAAATTCTGAACTCGGCGAGATCCTCAATCGAACTCGCGATGACAACGCAAAGTTGCTCTTGGAGATTCAAGCTAGAGACCAGGAGATCAAGCTGTTGAAAGATGACCTTTCCGCTGCCACACCAGTTCTCAATGATTTGAGGTAGTTTAACTTGCGTTGCATCGCTCTTGTTGCATCAGCATCTTATCCATGGTTAACTTTTTATTGGCAGAAAGCAGCTAGAGGTTGCAGTGATGGAGCTTGGACCTTTGAGACAAGAGGTTCCTGTACTCCGCAATGACAACAAAATCCAAGCGGCAGAAATCGAAAGGTTGAAGGCCGAGATTGATAGGCTTCAACAGCAATTGAGGGTACCCTTTAAAAACTGGTTTGTGTGCTCAGCACGTAATCAAAATCAACAAAACAGGAAAAGAAAGAGAAAGTCAGCTTGAAAGCTGCAGCTCCTGCCCCAATGGCTCCTCCAAAGGCAATCAACGAACCTGGATGCCATGGGCTGAAGTGAGTGTCGTAGATGTGCGGCGTTGGCATGCTTTTGGGCAAGTTCGATGGTTCTGGAGATCGTCGTGGTACCATGAAATGCTGCTTATCTCGGGTTCGATGACATCTTGTGCTCAGGGAAGATTTACGTGTTGAAACTTGTTCCTGGTGGGCCGGCTGCCATGTGCGGACAGATCCAGGTAAATTCTATACCTTCGTAGCAAAGGAAATTCGTTATTGCTGCTTAGCCGGAAGATATCCTCCACCGTGTCGATTCCAATGTTGTCGATGGCTGGGAGTTGGATCAAGTCTTCAAAGTCATCAGAGGTCCTGAGGGCTCGCCAGTACGTTGTTTCTACTTGGTGTAGCAAATTTTCGTGTGAAACATGCGTCAGGTCACGCTTGAATTCGGAAGAATGCATGGAAACCAGGAGAGCCGATACCGCTTGACACTGTATGTGAAAAGTATATGAAGAACTGAAGGTTAACTTGACGTTGCACAATAGCTTTCGCCAAGACGTCAGTGCAAACGCTCAGGCGATGGATCGCTCCAGCGAAAGCGCGGAAAGCAATTCATACTATTACAATAAGCCGAATGTTGGCGGCGATGCTACATACTACGGGTGATCTGAATTTCGGATGGTGATGACTGAATAAGTAACTGTGATCACAGGCAAAACTACAACCAGTCCGCTTGGGCGCGTAGTGATGAGGAATACATGCGTGCTGCTTTTTAATGTAGACAAGCAGGTATTTCTGGATTTTTGGTGAGAAGATCTTCCGCTGATGTGTCGCTAGGTGCTTCAATAGCGAGACTAGTGCTCCAATCGTTTTTGTTAGTCATCTTTACGAAACTCTACATCGTGATGATCAGAAAAATTTGAATTGAAAATAACGTCTGTTGTTAAGTCGTTGCGATAGTTGGTCCATTCAAATTCATGTCGCATCGACTCGATCAACGTCTGCCCGTCGCCCGAATACCTTCAAGTTCAAAGTTATTCATGCCGCGATGACATAGCACTACTCACTGATTGTAAGCTGAACCATCCAATAAGCTCTGAGCTTGATCTCCTGTGTCGAGTCCGAGTCGTAGGAAATCAATCTTCGCCCTGGATTGAAGTCAATCATGCTGTCGTAAAGCAGTGAACTAGAATACAAGACAAGAAGCTCCACTGGCGTTTTTGAAACTACGGATGAAGTGCGCGTAGACTTGGTAATCATCGATCGCTCACCAAAATATTGACCCTTCCATAGCTCTCGTATTTCCAAGATCACCTAAGAGTTTCACCAACCAGAATATCACATGATCGTGATTTAGACGGCTACAAAGAAAGCTAAGTTTCGTACCTTCTTAGCACCTTCAAGTTCATCTCCTTCAAACTCATACATCCTATGGCTTGTGGATTTTGCCTTGTTCAATGCCACTTGTTCTTGCGCCATATTGTCAGAACAGTGTTTGGAAAGCTGAGTTTTCAGCATCTTTGAACGATTTCTGTGTTCAGAAGATAAATTTCTGGTTGAATCTTTCTTCAAAGAGGTTTTGAAAGCTTGCTTGTGGATCTGCTCTGTCCACGATATGAATCAGAGTTCGCAAATCATCAGGAAGATCATTACTAATTTCATATGAAGTTCGTTCCGTCAAGAGTGGTGGTTCTCTCCAAAGAGGACATCTTCAAGAATTTCAGTGTTCTGATTTCAGCATGATCTGTCTAAGACCTCCAGGAATTTAATCCAAAGACAGGTGTCTTGCCGAGAGCCAAAGATGCTGATGTCGTGCGCCTTTTCTCAATGAATGGATTAGGGTTTGATGAATGCTGTGAGAGAGGAAAAGGCATTTTGGGTGCTTTCAGAATCGTTAATACTTTTGCTGGGACTGCAATCTCGCGTAAAACCCTGCACACTCCTTTCTGCAAAGAATTTCAATGATAGCGAAAACGACAGGAAGAAAAGTGCCTCAAGGATGAAGAATTCTTTTGGTATGGCCCCTTGTTTTACGATGATCTGATGACGAGACAGAGAATCAATGAAAAACAAGCTATCAGGTCATAGAGCACTTACTTTATTTGAAGGCAGATATCTCTTCTGCAGCAACTTTGCCAATTGCAGTCGCTTGCTTTCGGTCCAATCAGAGAAAGGAAAAATTGATTTGAGAAATCGTGATCTGAAGGGAAAACTCCGAATTCAAAATATTTCGATACGATCGCTTCATAACCTTTGAATCATGTGCTGCTCCTTGTGAATTCTCATCACCATCTCATAATCATATCGATTCAGACAAAGAATTGAAGCTCCATCACTACTAGGCTCTCAGATTCAGCTCTTCACCAAAACAATCATACCTCTCTACTTTCAAGTCTTTGTTCCAGATGCTTGACTTCAAGAACTCGTTTCCAACACAGTCCCCTGCATATAATCGGGATGCTACTTCGTTTCCTCTTTCATCTTGTAGAACGAGGATTCCGTCAAGGATGACGTAAAAGTTGTCGATCGGAAAATCAACCTGGGTAGAACCGGTAAAGGTCACAACTGACCGATATGCAGCTTTTGATAGGGAGGCTAACCGACTCTATGACAGCTCCTTTGGGGTATTCTTTAAGGCGGAAGTAGCGCAGCAACTCTCGCATCACTTCAGTCTTCATGGCTGCTTCAGGCGGCAACGATTCTATCCAAGACTGACTTCTCACGGGGCCGATGGCTCCATCCAAGTCCAGCTCTGAACGCTGCAATGAAGAAATGTCACAGAGGAATCAAGACATCAAACAGATATCTTCACTTGTTTTGGTAATTTTGCAAAAGTAGCCATGACGAAGTGTGGAAGCTTGCTCCTGCTCGTGTTTTCCATGGAAGCCATAATGTCGTCAAGATATTTGTTTACCAAAGCTGATCCCTGCCTTTGTGCTACCTCAGACTTTGTTAACTTGCTCTCATATGCTGCATAAGGGTCGACATCGCTGCTTTGGAGTGAGTTTGACCTCTTCAACCTTGCTCGTCTCATACGTCTGGACTTTTCTTTTGAATTCACCATCCAACGGTGATAGATTCTCTTGAAAACGTCAAGGGTGAGGTTGTGAGTCAGCCATTGCCTCGTAGGCTTGTTGTCTTCCTTGGAAGCATCTGTGCTGGTGAATGACGTACTCCGACTGAACCGATGCATGAGTGGTTCACAGACTACGGTCAGCAACAGTTGAACTTGATGTCGGCGATCTGCTGGACTTGAATGCTGTCAGTGTATCGTCCCGCTTGCCGTCGTCTCCCTCTCATCAAGCTCTCAGCGACGGTCCGGCCATTGAGCTACCAGGCAACGGTCCGACCCGGTTCCCAGGGCTCAGTAGTTCCGACAGACGGTTTAAAACTGTTGAAGTAAGCCTGCCTCAGCGGACTCTTTGTGTAAGAGGGGGGATGCGGTACTGTGCGATTTCACGTGAGCTATGAAGAAGTTCACAGTCCAGGTATGCGGCGTAGAGCGGAGCGATCGAGAAAGGGAGGGATAGAGGAAGGGAGAAGGGGGAAGGAAGAAAAGGGGGCGGGAGGGAGGGATGTTGACTTCTTTCTGACATGACGCGATGACAACAGGCGCCTTGCATCGGGATAGATTTAGGATTGAAATATTCGAGAGTTGCGATTGTGAAGAATGATAAACCAGAGGTCATCGCAAATGCTCAAGGCGCTCATTCTACTCCGTCTGTTGTAGCCTTTAATGAGAACGAGACATTAGGTGAAGATTATGTGGGGTTTCTCTTCAACACGGTACTGATAACAAAAACTAATGCAGTGGGTGAAGTAGCGTACAATTTTGGAACGAAGAATCCTACAAATACTGTCTTCGATGCCAAGAGGTTTCTGGGACGAAATCAGGATGATGAGGTTTTGTCGTCAGAGGGGAAGCGATGGCGTTTCAATGTCATGTACAAAGAGCAGAAGCCAGTTTTCCAGGTATGACGTGTGCGAAGATGTCCTCATAAAGATGATGATTGGAAGGTGCCGTACAACGGATCCCCCACAAACTTCACCCCAGAGCAGATTTGTGGTCAAATCTTTGCGAACCTGAAGTCTACAGCAGAAGTCATTTAAGCAGCTCGGATTGATCCAATCTCATCCTAATGCAGGCGTACATGCATACCAACATCAGGAATGCAGTGCTTTGCTGTCCAGCTCATTTCACGTCACAACAAAGGGAGGAGTTGATACATTCTGCATGTGAGTTCAAATGCCTGAGAACTCTGTGTGACGAAGGCGATGCAGCTAGCGCCAACCTCTCAGTCCTGTTGGTAATTAGCAAACCTGTAAGACATAGATAGAGCTCAATTGAGATCTAAGTGGATTTTTCAGATCGCAACTGCTATCGCATACGATCTCGATAAAAATGACTCGGGTCAGCAAACAATCCTAATTTTCAGTATGGGTGCAAGGTGAATGAATTTGTGATGAATCATTAAGTAACATTTCTTGTACCATGCAGATCGTGTGAAGTGGTGGTTCTTGATGTAAATACGGGATGCTTTCAAGAGCGGAGTGTGAAAGTAGATCATTCTCTTGGAGGCGACGCGATCGACGACATACTTGTATGCTGCTCTCGTTGTTGAACGCAAAAGTGACATATCATCATATTGATACCTTGGTTCTCATCAGGTGGACTGGTTTGTCGATCAATTCAAGAGGAAGCACAAGCTCGATCCATCCGAGAGCCATAGGTGACAGATGCTCGCACGTATTTGTCGCATCTTAAATGTCTCTCATCAGATCACTCTTCAAGATTAGATCGGGATGTGAAAATGCAAAGCGACAACTTAGTCAGACGGTTGCTTTATTTACACATCTGTAGATACGATCTAAAAGTGGTTGCTTTGCCTCACAGGCCAGCACTCGCGTAGAGGTCGAGTCTGCGCATGAAGGTCTAGACTTCTCTCAGAACTTGTCAAGGGCAAAGTTTGAAGAAATGGTAGCAAGGACATGAAAATCGACTCTTGCTAATTCTGAACAGATATCTCCCGTCCTAGCTAAAATCGGATCGTTGATACAAAATGCTCTTACTGCTGCCAATGTTAGGTAAGCGTCATATCTGCTGTTGTTCAACTTCTCAGGTCTGTGTACAGCGCAGGAAGCATAAACAAAGTCTTGATGGCTGGTGGCTGCTCTCGTATTCCAAAGGTTCAGTCGATCGTTCAGCAATCCTTGCCTGGTGAGATGAAGTTAATCTGATGTCGTCAGTTCCTAACGCACCCCAGACGTGGAGGTCTGTCTCAACATTTTGCCTGACGAGGCTGGTGTGCTGGGAACTGCAATCCAAGGAAGCACTCTGGTGGGCTCGTCCTGGAGTACTGCTGAAGCCAACTCATCGAACATCGAGATTTCAGCCTTGCCAAGGGTCTGCTGACTTAGCTGTGCCGATCTGGCTGTTATATCTGATTTGCTCTGATGTTCAGACGATATGGCTGGGCACCCCAGAAAAGAAGAATGCTTATCCGGCTCTTCCTAAGGGAACCAGTCTGCCATGTGATGCTGTGATCAAGCTAGATCTCGAGAGTGCGAACCAGGCTTCAGCTTTCATCCAGGTCTCAATCCCTTGTTATCTTTGAGATTCAATTTCATTTCATCTATCTGCCACAGGTATACGAAGAGTCCAGTGAAAGCGTTGAGGGTGAAGAGGTTCTGGTGGCATCCTTGGCGTTGGATGGGATTGAGCAAGGGCCTGTGTACCTCCATGTGCAGGTAATCAGCTTTCGCAGCTCCTCGCAGGTCTCATCGTCTTGCCAGGTGGATAGTGAAGGATTATTGTCACTCAATGCAAAAGATTCCTCAGGAACTGCCCGTCATGGCCTGACAGTTGGACCTCTTGAAGAAAACAATACAGAGTAGAAAATGTGTACATGTTTGTCTAGTCCACACAATGATACAACTTCTAAACATTATCCCATTGGTGGGAGAAGATCTTGTCTCTCCAGACTCCATGCTATCAAGGCATCCAAAATGGATGTTCGCATTGCTGAATTCACAAGCATGGCGACAAATGTCGCAATCATCGTCTGAGTCACGCAAAACTCCAAGAGAATGTTAGTGATGCTTGCAACCAGCCAGGTCAAGGCCAGGTCTTGATCAAATCCTGATGTGTATGTCATGGTAGCCACCATCATCAAAGCAATCCATAAAATGTGAAACAAGTACACTAGAAGAGACCATGACCTTGCGGTGAGCAACGCACAGGTACTTCTACTTCGCCCTTTCCACTTTCCATCTCTCCTTCTGATGGAGAGTCCAAACACGAACTTCTGCAGGAATGATTTCTGTGGACCCAAAGCAACGAATTCTTTCATCTTCCGTTTGCGAAGCAGACGTCTTTCTTGTGCTTTGCTCAGCTTTCTGGCTGGTAGACCCAACGGCAATATTAGACCTTCCGACTTGTCGCGAGCTTCTTCTTCATCTCCTTCGTCCTCCTTATTCTCTTGTACATTCGCTCGAATTTCTTTAACATTAGAGATGCTAACAGTAGCGGTACGAACTTCAAGATTTGAGATCGCCTTTGATTTCACTGTTGCAAGTTTATTGGGTTCGTTTTCTGCGTCAGACTCTTTCACGTCGAATGAATGAATTTGGTTCCTTCCATCTGCTTTGAAAATGCGAAATAAAAGAGGGAAAATATGAGAAAGCGGTGCGACAATGAAAGCGGTTACAACCACAGACAGATACCAATCCCCAATTGAAAGATTTGAGGATGGCAAAAAGGAACCATGAACATTCATTCCTGAGTAGGCCACGGCCGTGCTCATAAAGATTGTCCCAAAAACGCACAAGAAGCAAAAGAAACGTTCTAGCATTCCGATGTCATCATTGTTCGTTATGACAGTGAATAGGTAGTGAAATCGATTTAGATATTTTGTTTGAGTGAGCATGTATGCAGCCCGAGCGTCACAAGTTTTACCTGCTAACACCTTTGAATGAACGAGGCCATTTGTCGGGAAAATCCGATCAGAAAATGGACTCGGTACCTCCATCCCGGAATCATGCCTGATTCTAACATATTTGGCAGAGTGTCTCTCGATCTCACTTTGCTTCCACAACTTCATTTTCTGTAGGCGTTCCAAGATGAAAGCAAGACTTATCAGCAACAAGCAGAACATTATAGAAACGAATGGAATCAGATTCTGAGTTCTTTGCTGTTTGACAGAATAAACTACCACTCCAGGATAAACAGATTTCATTCTTACAATCGGGTTTTGAACTTCAGCAATAGAAAATGAACCAACCAAAAAGTTGAGACATACAGCATAATTCTCTTTCATCTCTCCACTATTTAAATTTCCTACTGAGACCCATCGTTGAACTGTAGAATTCCATACCTTACAAGCTACGATTGTCTGTGGTTGCATGATTGAAAAAGGTTTTGCAAAGTACAACTTCGTGAGTATTGGCAAGGGCAGATACCTGAGGCACAAGGTTCTGTTTTCCTGCCGCATAGATAACTGAGACACATCAGACAGCAAACTCAACCTCATGCTGTAATTAGTCTGGTAGGAGAAGTTATAGTTGTATTTCGTGACAAACGAAACCGTTGAAACAAACCTCAACCCAGCAATGCCATTCGGACACCAGTCGTTACAAGTTGGTTCCCACCAAGGGCATTGACTTGGCAGAGCGCATGTTTTAGAATTGCTGTAAACGGATGTAACAGTCATCAAGACGGAATCGGTTGTGACTGGCTCTAGATCGAAAGTCTGCCATTCATATGTGTTTTTCAATTCCACAGTCTGCTCGCTCCCGTCAGTAAACTTGAGCAGGACCCCTCGATCACCACCAACAATGCAAGTACAATTGAATGTTGATTCTTTACAGGTCAACCCGTTGGTCCCTTTGCAGTACTTGGGGCCCTCCCGAGCTTTGTATTGCATCATGCTTACCTGCACTTTTTCCTTGAAAACCATCTTGATGAACGATCCTGCTCCTGATGGACTTGACAGATCCAAAGGATTCACAGCCCAGCTCAGGTTCCCACCGTCTACTGCATTGATGCATGATGTGTCATGAAAAGACGGACCCTGGGAGCCTTCGTATGCTGGAGGTGTACAAAGATGATGCGTGCTAGAACAATCGTGCAAAGCAGATGAACACTGAAGCTCGGAAATTCTTCCTTTTGCATATGAAGCCCAGTTCACCCGTGCTTTTTGTCGTTCAGCTACGACATATGGATTCTGAAAGTACTGATTGATGTTGATGTCTACGAAAGTGATAGCGTTGAAGCTCGCTTGTGATGAAGGAACAGGTCCAAAAAATTTCGAATACAGAGATGACTCACTCAAAGTGAATGTGGAATGTGGAAAACCATGGTCAAGAAGCGTGCTGGGGTATGGAAAGGTTCCGTAGGTCAGCCCTCCACTGCAAGAGTAAAATTCCTTTCCATTTCTGAAGAATTCGCTTGGAAATTGAAAAATCGTGGCACCTGCAAGATCAAAGTAAGTGACAAACAGACTGTGAGATATAGATTACCCTTTACGTTCGAAATGTTGCTACTCCCAAGTGAAGAAGTTGAATTTACTTGAGACGAAGACAGTCTTTTACTCTCCATTCGCCTATTGTTTGATACAAAGCCCTTGGTAACTAATGTTAAGAAATCTGATTGAGGAAAGCTGCCTTCTAGAAAGCCAATGGACAACACATCTACAAGGTGTATCACTTTGTCCATGATTGCTGAGCATACATTGAGCATGTCGATTGTGATAGCTTCTTGACTCTTGAAAAGCACATATCTCACGAGATTGTCAAGAGATTGGCCCACCATTCGAGCGATGTAAGGATTTTCTGCTAGCAGAGTTTTCTCCATCAATAAAGGGCTTAAGACTTTGATGAAGTTATCAAAATCAGCACATGACAGCATACTAGCCCCAGCATCTGATGACGTCGCTATCTGTACTAAGGAGGCCAATACATGGGCACCAAAGGGGTACAATGGAAGCAATGATTGCAAATCGAGGATATAATCTATCAATTGCATGTAAACGTTTGAGGCACTCGAAAATCCTCGACTGGTTTGGGAGGTTGAAAGCACCTGAAAGAGTGTTGACAGCGCAAAGAGTAAGTTTGAGTAAGCCTCGTCGGTGTGCCTCAGGGTGAGATCCGATGCAATCTTGCTACCGATGGTCTCGTTGAAGGTGAGGAGGAAGTTGGGCTCGAACAGCGGGGAAGGAGGGTTCAAAGTAATGGTCGTCTCGTAGTGTTGCGAGACAGAAAGGAAATCAGAGACCCTCAGTTTTATCTTCACTACATGCTGTCTGCTGAAGACGAGGGGCAACGAAACCTGCACTGCAGATCGGATTGAATCCTGCATGGGATAGATCGAGCTGAGATTTCCCATGCCATACTGATATAAAAATTGAAGCGGGAAATCGTCCTGATCACTGAACCAAGTCTCACAGGAGACATGAAAAGCAGTATTTACAGAGTATCCAGAAGTTGGATGGACCGAAAATTCCATGCATCTAGGCAATTTTAGAAAACCGATAGGGAAAAAAGTGTTGAGTTCTTCACTTGTGATCTGATTTGTGATTGTTAATTTTAAGAAATATTGCATGTCGTTTCCAAATGTGTATGGATTCAATATCAAGAAGGAATTACTGAACGTTTCCGGAAAAAGAGTTGACAAAGAGTTTGAGAACAAATATTGCTCGACGCAACAATCTGATGATTTGATGGACCATTCATATTTAAACAACGAAATACTGACATTTTCGTTGCTGTAAAATGAAGAAATCACGTTCAGTTTCGATGGATCAAGAAGGGTTTGAAGTGGAGGTATGATGTTAACACGTGGAAAATCCCAATAACCTGACTTTTTTAACAAGAATATCGTACTGTTTGCAATTGTCCACCTAGAATTCTTTGATACATTTACCGAAATGAGGAATGCGCCAGGAATGCATTGCATGCACAAGTACCTTGTATTTTCAAGTGCTCCGGTCAAATTTACAAAACTGGAATTCCTTTCTAGAATCCCTGTGATATCAAAAAAGCATGGCAGTGGAGAAAGAATGTCAGGAAGGTAAAAACTGCCGTGACGAAAGGAAATGATCGGTCGGCAACTCCATGAAAACCAAAAGGATTCTTCTGAACGGTCAGGATCAACCGTTGCAGATGCGTCGAACACAATCTGTTGGCCATCGATGATGTCACCATACGGTCCTGCCAGATTGACAACAATGGCTTGACTGATAGTGGAGATCGTCAAATTTCCAACCCCAACTACTTTCAAGTTGGCTTCATACCCCGACACAGAAAACTGAAAGACATAAGTTGAATTTGGAAGGAGTGAATAGGGTGGAAGAGAGATGATGGTAGAGTTCAAGTGGATATTTGAGATGTCGAAAGTAGTCATATTGATGGGAGTCCAACCTATTGAAGCAATATATAAATCTGAAAAATTTTGAACTTGAAATTTAGCACGCAAAATGATTGTTTCGGAAACCCTCACTATCTTCGTGTTGCCTTCGGGAAATATGATCGGAATTTCCTTGTTGCTACTCACCATGACATTGAGAATAGTCTCTGTAGAGAGATTGAATCCATTGGTTGCTCGAATGTTAAGTTTGTTGGATCCAAGTGATAAGAGTCGGCCAGGGATTGAGATATTTCTTGAGTTTGAAGGAATGGCTTCCAGGAACGCAGCCAACGCATCACTATTGAAAGCTTGAGTCGTCCAAAACAAATTTACTTCTCGCCCCAAACCTCCTGAGTATTGCAAGATCTCAATTTCAGCATTGTTCCATTGATTGATCTCCAATGGATAAGCTAGAAAAAGTTTTGGAAAGGACTTCAAGTCAACATCGAGATGTACATGTGCGTTCAAGTCGTTGGAACGAGAGTTCACACCCTTGATATTCGAGATTCTCAATGTTGCCCCTGGGGTCACTTTAGGATTCACTCCCATCACCACTTGTAAATGCATGGCAGACTTAAAGCAACAAACGGAATTTGTACCAAACAATTTGCATGAATGGATATCAAACATTGTACAACAATCTCGGTCTCCATACAAACCATTCCTTGATATATTCGAGCAAGTTGCAGTGACAGAACTGCAAGCAAGATTGGTGGGTGCCATGAAAACGACATCAATTCTGTCTCCAGACAAGGTGAATTGTGCATAGTTGACAAGAGGCGCAAACTCTTGAACGCTGATTTCAAACCCTGATCCCGGCACCATTTGCAACATGTTGGTCTCAAAGTTTGACCTCATAAAAAGAAAAATCCTGTACAGCCCAGGAATGGCTATCTTGAAGACTACCTGAGAAACATTAGAAGATGACGTCACATTGTACGAAATTGACACTGAATCTCCACTGCGGTCTTGAACTTGCAGTTCAAGTTCCTGGTTGAAAGGGCATCTATTTCCAAAAAAATCTCTGCCATGAAAGAAAGCATAAATGCTTTCATTTACAAACGATTCTCTTGGTGGACCTGTGAAGAAAGAGTTTTTGATATTCGCTTCTTGAGGTTCAAGGGTAATCTCAAATCGAAATTCTAGGGTATCTAATGAGAGAATATTTGAACGCACACTATATGCTCCAGACTTGGTCACCAAGAACGAAGCTGACATTTTTCTTCTTTTGGAGTCTTGTTCAATGTAAAATGAAATCTGTTTAGAGAATGATGAACCAAGCACTTCCAACGATGGATATTTCTGAATTTCTTGTGAAAGTAAAACACTTTGATTGGAGTAATCTTTGATGTCGATTTCAAACTCAATCAGCTCTCCAACAACGAGAATGTTACAGGGAGGGTTGAACGACTGGCTTGACGCAATGCTATACTCGCACAGTTGGCCAGCCTTCTGAGCAAACTTTATGTACATCTGAGTGTTTGATCGATCGACCGCAAATTCCTGAACTCTCAGAATGAATGGGGCTCGTTGAAGGAGAATTCCATTAATCATCACGAATATTCTGTAGTCACCCCCTGCACTCACCGAGTACTCAACCCTGTAACATCCGTCCCTCAAACTCACTATCCGAGGGAACATGGGAGAGCCGTAGGTAGACAGGATGGAGACGTTCACCTTGTCGTCTCCTCTAAACTTGTCGTATGAAGGTTTGCGGATGGGATTGTTAAAGATGTCTCTCGTCTGGATCTCAAACGTTGCCAGCTTTTCAACTTGAGCGAACGAAATCCCAGTACCCACAATCCTTGTGTAGTTGACTTCAATGGGAGCAGAGCGCACTAAGACCGTCCACGGACTCCCCTGAAGAGGACTCACCAGATTTGTTGAGTTTCCTTTGATCTGTACCCCGCCATACTCGACATAAATCTTGTAGATCCCTGAGACTGAAGAGACCCAGGAAGCATGGAGTTGCCAAGGAATGTAGCCTTGGCTCCTCTGCGGCTCAATCCGTCGGCTGCTCACACCTGGAGGCCCAACAATCCTGATGACAAATGAGTTGCCTTGATCATCTGCAAGTGAAGGGAGGAAGCCATCAGCGGTGAGCGACAGGTTGGTCATAGCATGCACGTAAAGATAGACTGTGTCTCCTGCAAAGTGAGTGTAGAGAGCTGACCCTGTTGCGAATGAGTTTTCAGCATTCGGTACAAGTGCAGTGTAAGGATATTGCGGAAACCATGAATTAGTGAAAAAGGATTGGAGATTTCCATTGGGCAAAGTGAAAGTTGCTCTCTTGGATCCAAGGTATACCTGAAAGTAAACCAGGCCTGTGGTGTTTGGCCATGGCACATATTGAACTTGGAATAGCCCTTCTCCGAAGTAAACCAACCTTGTCCATGGTGTCAAGGCTATGTACTGTAAACTCAATCGTGGAGAGGGATTTTGATTTGGGTAACCAATTCCAAAAGTATTCGGTGGTGAGAAGGCGATACTGATTGTTGAATTTTGGCAACAATCTGGCTCCCACAAGTTTCCGACTGAGTCATACACCCGCATGTAAAAGTATGTCATGTTTCCAGGAGTGTATACATGCAGCCCTGGACCAAATAATTGTACACTATTCAGATTTGGTTCACCTGATCGAATGGTCCGAAAAATCTCCTGTTCTCCAACACGAAGTCCTTGGTAAAGAACTTCAATCTTGTATGTACCGCTAATTGAGTATGTCGGCCAAAGATATTGGTACGCACCGCAGCTAGGGTCTAAGTTAGTTTGCTGGCAAACTTGGAGATCAGGATTTGGACTCAGAGGTTCTGCTATCGAAGAGAAGATGATTGACCCATTCCTGTGTATGATCAGAATTTGAAACTCAAGCTTAGAGAAAGTCAAACGATTTCCGAATGCATCGCGCGAAAATATATACACATATGGCAAATCGAAAAAAACTGTTGAGGGAGTAAATTGCGAGGTTTCAGCTTGTTGCAAACTTGAAGAGATTGTTGATACAGTACGGTTGAATGTAGATGGTAAGATAGTTATGACATCTCCACAAACAGGCCCTGCATCCCCTGATGAGGGACAATTCACACCACTCTTGAGAGGAATACAACATCCGTTCTCAACCGCAATATCGCCGTTCTCGACGGCAATGATATCATCAACCGAAACATGCTTTGCTATCCTAAAACCGTTGATAAATACTTCTATTCGATATTTTCCTGCGACTGTTGTGTAGAAAGAAAGAACGAAACTACCGTTTGACATGGAGCTGATTTCTTCATGTTCTACCTGAGATGATGAAGGATCGACCGGCGGGATAGTTGAGAATCGTCCACAAGTAAACAAAGATGAGTTCGAAATGTAAACGTTGGGCGACTGTAGAGATAGTGATACAGTACCATTCGTAACAACTATATTCTCTTCATTCCAGATCGTAAGCCCACCATTCACGATTTGCGAAAATTGCTTTCTAACAGTAAAAATAATCTCAGGCAATTGATTCCCGCATTGTTCAATAATCTGTGCTTGGTTCAAAAGATTTGAGAATTTATCTTTTATCACAATCGTAAAAGAATTGGAACCAACAGCTTTGATGAAAGCACCGTCTTGAGAAGAGGTTTTTGAGGAAAATGTCTTGCCGCTTACTTGCTTCGTGTAGATTTTGACCTGTGGCTGAAGTAAGTAAGTGTTTTGGAGCGAAATTGGTCCGGGCTGAATGTAGATCTCATATGGAGAACCATGTACATCGATCTTGTTGAATAGTATTTTCAAAAGGAACTTTCCACTGTAGGTTGACAGACAGTATTGAATGGGAGCCATTCCCGATTGCACACCGCATTCACCATGCTCTAACGTCACATCATACAGAGCCAAATCATTGTTCGTGTGGTTGAATTGATCTCTTCCTATGATCGAAAACTTGAAAGGTAGACCAGCAGTTGCATATGAGAAAGTGCTATCGAAACTAACATATGAATTGGACGCAGAAATCCCACGTGAAAGTGCCATGCAATCGATACCTTCAGGGGAAAGCGGTGACATTAAACCTCCAGTGTAGAGTGTACCATATTGAACAATCGTTCCATCAACAGAAAATTGCAAGAGATATTGCCCAGGCAATGCAAAGGAAAATGACACGACATTGAAGCCAGATTGGGGATGACATGGAATTTGCAGACGCAGGTTGGGATCGATCCTTGAAGTCACATAGAGCGAACATTTTACGTTGAAGGCATGCAAAATCTTGTTCCCGAAAATATCCAGGAAATAGATGGAGGCCTTGTTGAGCACATTCACATAAGTGAAGAGGATAGATTCAGAATATATCTCACACGCCTTGGCGTCAAGTTGGCTTGTGCCGACATCCACAACAAAAGGACTGCCTTGAATTGGTATTGCGCCATCCAATATGCTCAAAATGTACTTACCTGCTACATAGATGGGGGGTAACGTTCCAAGGTAGCATTCATCGTTTTTACATTCAACCAAGGCATCGTTAAATCCATCAAGAAACAGCCGCAAGTGACCATAAGATGTGGCCACTTTCTGCCCCACAGAATTTTCTGGCACCACATATATCTGCAAAGACTCACCAGCGGAAAAATAGAGGCCTTTGCTCTTTGATATCTTTAGTGAGAATGAAGCAGGCTCAAAGAAAACTCCAGCGTCAAAAACAGACAAACATTTGGAAAATATGATGATCGATTCGTTGAAAACAACTGTGATATTGGCATCACGGGATGAGTTCTGCATGTTGCATGCCATCATGCTCTGAGAGATACATTGAGCAGAAAGTGGAATAAAAAAGCTTACAAGAAATCTGCCATCATAGACGCATGTTGCGTCCAAACAATTAGAAAGACCTTGTACAGAAGCTTGGATCAGATTGCCTTCAAAGTAGATTCGAACATCAAATGGATTCGACTTTTGTTTGGATGACCTCAGGTTGCCAAACTTATCCCTGTTTTCGATCGTGAAGGTCTGCTTGTAATTGAACGCAAGTCTTTCCAATGCAGACCCATACAAAACAAACTCATTTCCTGAGTCGGTGGGATGTACCATGACATTCCATTTGTATAAAATGCCAATTCCTTGCAAGGCAAATTCATGCCGTACTGCACTCGAAAGATTATATTCAAATCGAAATCGTCCGAGGATATTCGTCTGAATGGGAATTATGGTATTCGACATTACCTTGCAGCGGCTGAAGTGGGCGTAAAAAAGCATGTCACATTTGAGAATATTGACGTGCAGTGAATTGTTGGGAATCAGAGGGATCAGGCCAAGGTCATCAAGCAAACTTCCCTGAAGAACGAATACAGCTCCGGCTTGCATCGAAGCATCTCCGTCAGATTGACAAGGATACAATCTTGAAAAGCCATCACTTACAAATTCGCAGCGTACAATCGATTGATTTTGAGACAGCTGCGAACTTTGATTTTGGAAAACAGTAAAGTTGAAATTGGAGAATTTGTGATTCAGATAACTCACTGTAAGCTCAGATGAAAAGTTCCATTGAATCTTGAACAACAGCGAACATCTAGACGAATCACTCGCAAAAGGAATTGTGAGCAGATTCTGACCTCTATCATAATGAAGCGTAATGTATGAAACATTGCAATGAACAGCATTGCCGTATTGATCTTTGGTATGTAGTTCAAGAAATGTGAAGCAGTCTTGATATCCTCCAATCAATCCGGGTCCAGACATAACGGAATTCGATAAGTTCAACAAGCCAGGATTGACGATGAAAAACAGCGGGCTTCCAACAAGCATGCTCTGCTGAGAACCAAAAACTTGGACCATGTATTGACCAGCCCTGGTACACTCAAACAAATATTTGGTAGTAAATGGAGGTTGAAGTTCTGCCAATGTTGTTGGTTGAGAAACTGTAGAATATCCTCCTATATCGTTATCCCAAACGAAGAAGGAAAAAACTGTATTCATTGTATTGTAGTATCTGTCAAATGGAACAATCACAGAATTTTCACAAGCGACTGAGCAAATACCCTTGCTCAATTCAATTGTCGAGCTATTATACATTGTTGGAGAAGACAAGACTTGGAAAGAAAAATTCATTTGTTTGAATTCGGAATTACCTTCCTTGAGAAATATGCTGTATGGTCCTGTTACTACAAATTGAATGCGTGAGACAAAATTGTTTGCTTCTAACGTGAGAAATTCATTTGTGCAATTATGATTGAAAAAGCAAACGTAAAACATATTTTCCTGCCAGTCGGATGCCAGGGCAAGATTGTTGCTGTTAGAATCCATCAAAGTGAATAGAAAGCAGTATTGCTCTCCAGCCACAAGTGAAGTGCATTTATCTTCTGTTGCTGTCGGAGTTCTTGAACAAACTATGTTTCCTTTCTTGTCTGTAATGATTAAGCTAGAATGTGATAAACTAACTTCCATGGGGTTTACCTGGACTTCTTTTATTCCTTTGCTTATCTCGGTATTGTTGACATACATTCTAAATGTGAAGGTACCAACCGCATCAAATCTGATTTTGAATTTGATAGGAGCGGTTGGCGCAAAGTATGCCCAATTCCGATAGATTTTGTTAAAGGGCACCGCAACATTCATTCCAGAAAAATTTGAGAATGGGTATGCTTGTGTCTGTATGAAAATTGGACCTGTCATAACGATGCATCTCCCGTCCAAATAAGTTCCTGTATTCGCTACGAAAGTCAGACAACTGCAATTGAATTCAATGCACTTCAGCATGCATGTATCGAAGTACTTCATCATTGACGAAACATTCATTGCAGCATGATTTTCAGTTGTGTAATTGTCAAATTTTGTATATACTGAATCAAATCCTGTACTTGATATACATTTTGAGTCATTGTGTATGTCAAAGTCAAATTGAACCATGGAATTCTTCTCTTGCAATATCTCCACGTACACATGATCAGCTTGAACACCATTGCTTTCCATCGAATTGCAATATTGTCCATAGTTTGTGTTCACACATCTTGAATTCGTCCATAAAGGTATGCCCAACTTCGATGGAACTCTGTAAGCTGAATTGCTGTTCAATGAAATTTCTATCTGAATGTTTTCATAGCCAAAACGAGTTGGGAAACCTATCAGATCTTGACCAAAAAAATCCAATTCACAAAATTGTGTAACAGTAGTTTGAAAGGTCTTGTAAGTTGATGAATAAATCTCAAAATTGTTTGAATTTGAAATGTTTGAAAACTTATTGAAAACAAAAGAAGACTTGCTGGGATCCATAACTCCACCATATATTTGAATAAGGGAAGAACCGTGATCAATGAGCTCACCGTCGATGGAAATGTTCAGCAGATGCGTACCAGCTGATCTCACGTCAGTGATTGAAATGCTGTACAGGCCATTCATATGATCCTGAACCGATTTTGAAAAGCCTTCCTG